GGTTGAGTGCGGCTCTTAGGGGCACTATGACCCCCGGGGGAAGGGGTTAATGACGACAGAGAGACTTAGGAGGGAAGGAGGAAGTACATGTACGTGTGTTGATAGCACTAGAAATGAATTTGGGGGAGGGGCCGGGTTGGCTTATACAATGTACGTGACGGCAGACATTCGGAGGAGTCGAATACGGGGCTATGTCAATACTAAAGTTTACTTAGCTATGACCTGACCATAACCTGGTACTGATATCCATAACGAAAAGTATTTTTTGCTGTAGAATAAAAACGCCAGCTATACGCCAGCTATGAATAACGAAGCTATGAGAAGAGTTTAAGACTTAGGTGTGAGAATCTGACAAATGGGTGGTACATGTATAAAAAAAACACAAAGCAAAGGGAGGTGTCGAAGAGGGGGGGGGGGGGCAGGGGGCAGGGGGGCACACGTACCTGTACCAGTACTCTCACTGCTGACAGCTCCGATGAGAGAGGAAAGAAACACTAGAATAACGATAATGTCTCTCCTGTCACTTTCATACACTAAACCCGCCATCTGGTCACTCTCACTGGCTTGGCGTCAGGCTCAGTGCTAGGTCCTGTCTCCGCGGTCTTGAGTCTTAATTAGCTGAGGGTTGTCACTTGAGGTTGATGTCGAGGACGCTTACGTCATCCTCAGTTAAAAACAGATTCCACTCTTCACGCTGTGTAAGTGTCTTAGAAGTCAATCAAGTCAATCAACACGCAGTAAACCTTTTACACACGGTCACATGTCGCTAACATGAGAAGTGGGGCATTATAAAACATAAAACAATATTATCGACATACCGGTACACGGGTGCATGTAAAATTAGGTCACTTCCTGGTGCTCATTATGACTCATTCGCCTCCTTAAAAAGGGCCTCTGATTTCGAATCATGCGTTGACATGTTGTAAACTTATACTTCTTTTTTCTTTCATATGAGAAAGGAAAATCCATTTTCTCCACTGTGACTATGGTTGCACGTGAAATTGAGCACTCTTATATATAACGTCCCTGAATCTTGACAATAGCTTAAAAAATTCGATCAGTCCCGTGTCATTCGCAGGCCCGTATACAGCTTGTTGCTCCACAGATTGATATTCATATTGATTCAACAGAGTTCATGCGACATTTTTTCGTAACACGACGGATCAGGGAAACAAATACTGACAAATACATGTATAATGAAGAATGTGCAGCAGGTTTATTCAACAGTGTTTATATTTATTTATTTATTTATTTATTTATTTATTTATTTATTTATTTATTTATTTATTTATTTATTATTGTTATTATTGTTGTTGTTATTGCTGCTGTTGTTGTTGTTGTGATATTAAATAATATTAATTATTTTTATTATATTTCTAGTAATAGTGGATAGTAGTGGTAATAATAAGAAAAATGTAAAAGCACAGAAGAAAGAATTATCTACTCCAAATTGCCACAGTTGCGGCGTTCGAAAACAATGCATGGATACGAACGCAATATTCACATTAAAGCATTGAGTCAGGTTTCACTCCTTTTTTTAGAAGAGTCAGATCATATTATATCTGATGCACTTTTTGGTCCATCGGCAAAACTATCCAACCTGAATTAAATTGGAAAATTCACGAAAAGACAACCGTCAGAGACTTATCGCTCGAGCAAACGCCGAGGAATGTAGGAGACACAGTTATTCTTAAGGCCCAGGAGCGTTTCACTTTCACCAGCCAGTGAGATCCCCAGTATGAGATCATAAGTAAGCGCAAAATAGCTTGTATAAATTGAATATATCTCTATTTTTACGATCGGTTTGAAATTTGGCAAATTACATTGTGTAGGACAGCCATAGCAGACAACATATGAAAGTCAAAATTGTGCTGGGTCCATGTTTTTTTTAAATTTGAAATTGACTATCGTGACAGAAAGTTGGATGAAACTTTGCAGCAAGACGATACTTCTATGTTTTATATTATAATTATATTTTTATTTAAAAAATCAGTATTTCTAAAGTGCCTGCATTGAATATCATCGGAACACCATGAAAATTTAAAGCAAAGATAATAATTCGGAAAAGGAAAAATGTCAATTTAAAAAATACACTGGTGCTATGACAAGTTTTTAAGAATACTTTTGAAGTACGCTTGCATTTATATTTTTCCACAACAGTGAGAATTTCAAGACATTACGATGAAAAAATAAAGGTGTTATGACATTTGAGTAAAGCGCATTGTTTTCTGTGTTATTCTGCAGATTCCGAAGGTGATGACTTGACCAGTCTCTGTGGCCAGGAAAGGGTTCAACAATTCATAGCCATTTTTTCTTCGATACACTCCTCTGAATAAATGTATTCTGTAGAAAAATGTTAATTATAACGAGCTCAACATTTTTATTTAAATTAATGACAGATGATGATTCCATTAATAAAAGTCTATAAATCCCATCTGAAAAGTGCTGTGGTTATTGAAATTATCATCCATTTTGCATTTTTACCGAGGAAAACGATCTGATGGATCAAAAACTGTCCTACAAAATGGAATATTTTACCAACAGATGAAGAAGGAAGTTATCACAAGCAATTAATGCCAATTGCGATCCGTTTTCTCACAACGCAACAGAGCACAGAACGCCAGGAATATGACTTGTAACTCTGTATAACAGGACTATGAAACGCTTTGCATGTAGGCATTAATTATTTCAGTGAAGTTAATTTTAAGACAAAATGGTATTTGTCTTTTGTGTATGTATACATTGTTATCGGTGACTTGTCATTAAGTCAATGAGTACGCCGGATTTGCGTATTGCACATCATGGTTTTATTGATAATGAACGGTCAATGTTTAGGAAATTCACACATGCATCATTAAACGATTTAACAGTGAAATGATGATTTAATAGAACAATTGATAAAAATGCTAATGAAATAGAACAGTCGATAAAATGGTAATGGACATGGTCGGTTATGACCGGACAATAAGATTGTGACTCCTATTAAAGAATCATTTAGAGGTATTCCAGTCAGTTTAGTCATTTCTATGTAGAGGACGCCGGGGCAATAAACGATACGAGACTTACTCTGTTCGCGCCGTGGGTGCATGTATTCCCCAGTTCGATTAAGGCCTATTAAATCAGAAACTTCAGTGGACTTTGCTTGTATTTAATACAAGTATACAATACCGTGCTCTAACCATCGCACAGCCGAGTCTGGCAAAATTATCGCGTCATCTAACAGCTTAAAATACCCATGAAGTTAGGAACTTTACATAATATACTACTCATAATGCAAATCACACTATAATTTATGTCAATCAAAGCCAACGTATATTTTTAGAATTTTTATGTAAATAAAAACATGGAATAGATCTCACTTTTTCATATTTACACAGTTTGCGAAATGAGAATAGGTTTTGTTTAGTTTGTTCTGTGGGTTATCATTAGATATTTATTACCTGTGTTGGTAAAACTTTCGTTTACGATGTTCACGAACCTAACTACTTAACTCACAAAAAAAACGAGTCAGCCATATGAATCGTTCTCAACTATGTTTACATATTCAGGCTCATTTGAGGGAGATTCACTGGAACTGAGAACGAAGAGCCGTGTGTATTGTGGAGGCTCTTCCGGAGCTGAAGAATTAGATTGAAAGTTAATTGGTGTAGTGTAGAGATCTGAGTATCTCGCATCCTGGCTTTCACCGTCTCTTGTCTCTTGTCGAGTCTTTTGTTTTCTGAAACATTTTAATTAAAAATAAAATCTTAATTTTAAATTAAAACAGCTATTAAACTCATCATCAATTAAAACCACTAACTAGGGGATAAGTATTACGGTAAATAAAAATGTAAAAAAATAATACTTATGTACAGGATCACCGACTTGAAGCAACAACAGAATAAAATGTAATCCAATAGTATAGCTCTGACGGTAACTTCATTTACAGCTTCATTTATGTTCAAAAAATGCTCACCTCCGTCGAACAAAAATGATGATGCCAATGGATAGGGCTATGATACACACTAACCCACCAACACATGCCCCTGCTATAGTTCCTATTGAAATAAAATACAAATGTTATATTGACAAATGCAGAATAATAGCGTTAAAATATAAAATATTGGCAGAACAGAGTATTCTAGCAGAAAATGACTTTCAATTCTTAAACATCTAAGTTGAAGTGTGGGCCTTATAAAGCACATCGTATGTCAGTGCATGACTAATGTTTCAGACCGATGCCTTTACTATCAAGTTGACTATGGTAGATTTATTTTGAATTCTTGTCAAAAAGTTAAGTTTAACTTTCTGGCTGAAGCTATTGTAAAATGAACGGAAGCAAAAATCCAACGCATTACCGGCGGAATCTTGAGATTTTTCTGGAAATGAAGTTTGAAAATTTTCTTAAAATTTAGACTCTATTTACAAAACACAAATGCAATTCAAATAGAGTTTCCTGAAGGGTTTTCTCCGTTCAAGCCCTTCTGATGGTCTGTCTGAAACCCTTTTTAATTAAAATTACCACCCAGATATAGCCCCTTTTCGATAAATCCTGACAATTTCAAGACCATTGAATAAATGCGCTTGACGAGTTAGAGGAACATGTAGATGGGTTGGGGAAAAACGTTGTATTACAACAGTCACCGATGCAGTTAGTAAACCTGCTTTAAGGGACACACAAACCGAGGAAGAGTGCTATCATAGTTGTTAAGATGATAAGAGCTGTCGTGTGTCTGACGTTAATTTGAATTAGGTCTTCTTAATTTAGAGTGTTTGATGTTGTGAAAGTGGCGTTTTTGTGCATCATTTCCGAGTTAAACCGCTTAGTATGTCCGTTTAAGGTGAACAAATAACGCTTCGTACTGCGATTTGCCACCTTCATTACAAACTATACTTTAAATTAAAAGGATTTTTCACAATAAAGATTTGGTTGCCTTGCCTGCGCTTTTTGAGTGTTTTTCTTTTTCCTCCTTCTTTTGTACCTCTCCTCGAATTTCGCAAACAAAATTGTGCGCTTCCGTGCAGGATACTGGTTCCCAGCTTCTAAATTCTGGTAAGCGATTATCAAGAATGACACAATGTTTCGATTCTCCTCCAACCACCCTATCTGACCAGTGCCATTCTTTTAGTTCTTGACCTAGAAGAGATAATAGGACCATTAATTCTTAGCGTTTGATTCTTATTTCACGGCCGTTTGCAAGCATACTGAATAATTATTTATAGTAAGATGCATTATAAGTAACAGATCAAGAAATCGTTTTCATTATCATTTAATCTGCACAGAGTATGTTTTCAATATTTAAAATCAAACTACTGTTAAATTGGTAATTTATCTGACTACTGAAATGCACATTCAGGATAAAAAATATTAATGAAAGCTGTTTATTCAACTGGAAGCTATTTATTCAACTGTAATATCAAATTCTCAAGTGTGATGTAGTTAAACAATTAGACCCAATGATTATAAGAACCAATGATAATACCAAGAAGTTATAAAGAGAAGGTCTTTCTCTATATAACTTCTTGATAATACTAACCGCATAACTCCCATCTCCATACATTATTCCGCAGTCCAATCCAACGCTCGTCAGGCGCCAAAACACCAAAAACCGACCAAAGTTTTGTCTGAATTTCTTTGGTTGCCATTTTTATGAGATCTGCATTGAAGCTATTACATGTTTGCCTCGCTTGATACCACGAGTAGTACTTCTTGCCTAGACTGTATAGAATACAACGATCATCCAATTCATATACCACGACGTTATCGTCATTGCTGGTAGTACAGGTCTCTCCGAGTTTACCTGTAGGGAAGACAATTTAGTCAAAAGGTGGAACACTGCGTAAAACCAATCTTATAGACATTGTAATACATAAATTTGAGCTTTTTTAGTCTTCATTTATTCATTTA